GTGAGACTAGTCGTGAAAGTGCAGAAACTGTGTGAGACGAGCGCGGGGAAGCGCCAGGCCTAGCGATTCGAGGGAGTCCCCACAAGTTAATTTCGCAGTTCGACGAACGGAGGGATGATCTAGACTCGTATCTGCAGCGCTTCGAGCGTACGGCAACAGGGTTGAGCTGGCCTTTGGAAAAATAGGCCACAACACTAAGCTTATGCTTAACCGGGGAGGCATGTCTTTGGTTGGCCGGATGGCACCGGCAGATGCGTTTGATTATGGAAAGGTCAAGCTAGCGCTTTTCCAAAGATTTAGGTATACTAAGGAGGGATACCGCGAGAGGTTTCGCAACGCCGAACCTGAGAAGGGCTAAACGCGCGGACAATTCGCTGCCCATTTGGCAGGATTTTTTGACCGATGGCTGGAGATAGCTGGGGTTGAGCAGACTTCCGAGGCAAATTAGGAGACCAGGTCCTGGTGGAACAATTCATGTTGACCAGCTCGAGCAAGCTGGCCGTCTTTCTTAGAGAGCGTGATTGTCAGACTTTGGAAGACGTAGCAGCAAACGCTGGCCTGTTCCTAGACGCTCAGAAACTATCGAGCTGAAACAGGCGAAAGTCAGACGAGGCGACAAACAGGCTGGGCGCTGGAAACGGAGACACTCACGCAAGGGGAGAGACGCGAAAAGCTGCCCGCTGCTTCATCTGTGGGAAGGCTGGACATAAGGCCGAAAATTGCAGAAGCAACGCGCAAGGCAAGAAAACAGTGACGTATTGAAATCGTGGCCGCGCTGGTCATAAGGCGGAAAACTGCAAGGGAAGGCAGAACGAGAAGGAGCAAGCCTCGTGCTTAGTGACTGCGTCAACAGGGGCTGTCGACGCGCCCGACGACTCCTACGTAACACTGATTAATGGTGACAAAATCCCGGTAGTAAACGCGGCCATGGGAACACCTCTAAAGTTCTTAGTAGAGAACATTCCGGTCGTGGAAGGCCGTCTCGGGGAGCACAAGATAACGGTATTAAGGGAAACACCGGGCCTAACAGGAAAGTCAGGCCCGGTGTTTCTGCTAGACCGCACGGTCCGATATCTGCCCGAGGCGGATATAGTTTTACGAACACCCTACTATACAGGGAACGTGACGGCAAAATGTGTCAGTAACCCTCTCTATGATCTGGTACTTGGGAATATACCCCAAATGCGGGAGGCCAATGATCCAAACACTGACTGAGAAAATAAAAACGAAGAGAGTCAAGGTCAAGTTTTGGCCAAGCCAACGTCGAAGCCGGAAGCACTTCCGAACGCCGTTGAAGTCGGCTTCAATGGTCGCATGACACCGGGATTGTTTAAATGTACTGACGAGCTCCGGGAAGACAAACAAGCAGAAGTGTCGTCCGCGAGAGAGAAGGGAGCAGGGGGTCAAATGGAAGGACCAAAGCGATTTTTGAAAGTGTCGTAGGCGGCAGTGATCGATGCGACAACCGAGGAGCTTGCCATGGAACAGAAGGAGGATAGAACTCTCATGAAGTGTTTCCGCAAGATAGTTAAAACGACCAGAAAACACAAGGGTAAGACGAAGTTCCAGGTTTTTCTCAAAAACGGTTTGCTACACAGGGCCGTTGAATATTCACCCAGCAGAAGTGTAGAGCAACTTGTACTCCCGAGAAGGTTCAGGACCGCCGTCGTGGCTCTAGCGCATGACAGCATCATGTCAGAACACCAGGGCATGAAGAACACGCTCAACCTGGAGGCGGAAGAATTTTTTTTGGCCTTGTATGCAGAGCGAGGTCAAGAGAAACATTCGGTCGTGCGATGTGTGTCAACGCACAGTACCCAAGGACAAGCAGGGCAAGGCACCCTTCGGAAGCATGCCGGCTATCGAGACGCCCTTTCAGAAAGTAGCGATAGGCATAATTGGCCCCTTCATACCAATCGCGACCTCGGGAAACAGGTACATTCTGACATTGGTGGATATGGCTACGAGATACCCGGATGCGGTAGCGATGAAGAACATTGGATCCCAGCACGTGGCCGAAGCACTGGTGGAAATGTTCACCAGGTACGGTGTGCCACAAGAGATCCTTATAGCGACCGCGGGACCAGCTTTACTTCATAACTAATGAGAGAGGATGGCCAGCGAAACCTGAGGTTCGGTAGGAGGAGGAGCTCCGCAAGGAGGTCTATGGCTATGATCCAGGACTTGCCCGTCTCTTGCTACGCCCAAGCTGCAACGAAAGCTCTTCACCTCCCAAGCCCAAGATTCGAGGTGAGCTGCACCTCTTCGCGGTTCGTCCGCGCGACGAACTATCAGGGGCATTCTCTGTGAGGGACTGAGGGACGCCTCTTTGCCGATCATTGAACTACATAGTTAAACCCATTTCTCTTTCTATTTTTTTTGTTGTAATTATTTTCCTGATTTGGCTTTTGTTTGTATTTGTATTTTGTAAATAGAATGTAGCAACTTCTCTGCCACTTGACGTTCTTTTCATTCCACTTGCGACCCCTCTCGGGCGAACCGTGATAACCACTTTCTGTCTTTGTTTGAATTGCAAAGCAAGAGCTGATTCCTGTGAGCCTCTTACAAGGCTGACCTCACAAGTTCCATGAAGAGGTGACAAGAGGAAAGCTTTCATTTTGATATATCTTCTTCTTATCTGGGCCATCGTATTGACTCGACCAAATCTGTGGATGCCAGTCAATGTTAAAATTTGACAGAAGGTCCAGTGTAAGAAAACTGGGGTAGCTGAGGGACTGCAATGCTAGCGACATGAGTAGTATCGTTTGTAAGTTTAATCTGATTTTAACAACCACTAGGATTAAGTTGGTGCACTCTCCAAGAGGAAAAAAAGACATGACTAACCGAAGAACACAGACAAGATGAGGGATAAAATATATACCCCGACTCAAGGGTCCTAAAATTAGAACGAAGTAGACGAGGACGGATCCTCGTCTACCTCGTCGGTAGACAACGCCTTTAGGGGTTTTGCCTCTTTTCTCCTTGTCTTCGTGCACCGCAATGCGTCTCGGAACTCCCGGCTCCTTGCAGGAGTCGCACCGGCAGGAGTTCCCTCCTGCCGGTGCGACTCCTGGCCGAGGGAGAGCGGCTCAGCTCTCCGCCGCATCTGTCGGCTTTGTACTCGCAAAGGTGGAGCGATTACGGGTAGGCCTGCACAACAGCGAATCCCCTCGCCACACTGCTGCAGCTGGCGTTGTTGGCAGCGGTGCCACCGGTTTCTGGGGGCCATCCTACTGACAGATCGACCAGAATAGACTCAAAGCTGCGAATGGCTTGTGCGAAAATTCTGCCATCCCTGGAAGGTGCCTGTCCTTACCTTTCGCCGGGAGGATCAGTGGGGATGATGCCCTCAGCGCCTAAGCGGGGCTTCCCTGCCTCTGGACAAACGTCGGCCTCATCAGCTGCCGCTCTTTACAAGGTAACTTTCAAGCTTCGAGCCTGCTTCGAAGTCTCAACGTCTTTCAATCGTGCGCTTCGACACGCCTTGGATTCCTGCCTCCAGACTAAAGGCTTTCAAGGCTACCCTACCGAAAAACCCAGTATAACATTTCGCTATCTGGATTATGGAACTGGAAATTTATCTGAATGCTATCTAGACTTCAGGTTTTCAGAAATTATTCCTTTGCCTACAATCTGGACTTCAGGTTTACAGAAACAATTCCAGTTAGAATTCCAGTTACGGTTATAGTGGGGTTTTCAGTAGGATATCCTATTCACAAGGTCGCAAATACTGCGTCCGTCTTGGTACATTCCCTTGCGGAGGTCAACCGACCCCGGGGACTGCGGGAAATACCTACACCAACGAACGTCGCTGTGCCCGCACAAGCATGCTTGACACTTGTATATAACCTTGCTTAATACGTTGTGAACGGCGTGGACCCTGACGAAACACCGGAAGAATAAATAAACTCCTACACTCTAAGAAAAAACCGTGCCAACCAGCACCTTCTAGGGTTCTTTCGCTTGTCCGATGGGCGGCACCCTTAAAGGTGCAGAAAAGAACCCACATAAAGGGTTCTTACTAATGAACCCTATTTTGAGGTTCTTTTTGGATCGTTTATTGGTTCTTTGTAATGAACCCGATTTTGGGATCTTTCCGGAACGCTTCCTGGTTCTTTTTAATGAACCCTGTTTCGGGGTTCTTTTAGAATCCTTTTTGGGTTCTTACTAATGAACCCTATTTCGGGGTTCTTTCTGGATCGTTTATTGGTTCTTTGTAATGAACCCTATTTTGAGGTTCTTTTTGGATCGTTTATTGGTTCTTTGTAATGAACCCTATTTTGGGTTCTTTCCAGAACGCTTCTTGGTTCTTTTTAATGAACCCTGTTTCGGGGTTCTTTTAGAATCCTTTTTGGGTTCTTCCTAATCAACCCTATTTCGGGTTCTTTCCAGAACGATTTCCGGTGCTCTTGATGAACCCTATTTTGGGTTCTTCGCGGAACCCGTTCTGGTGCTCTTAATGAACCCTATTTTAGGGTTCTTTTCGTATTCATTATTGGTTCTTTAATGAACCCTATTGGGGGTTCTTTCCATAACCCTTCTTTGTGCTCTTAATGAACTTTATTTCTAGGTTCTTTACGGATCCTTCTTCGGTTATTTTTTTATGAACCTCGTTTCAGGTTCTTTCCGGAACCCCTTGGTTTTTTTAATAAATCCCATATTAGTTCTTGAAATTATCTTTTCTTTATTTTTAGTTAACCATATTTTGTATTGGTAAACCACTTTTATGGCAAATCGATTTTTTTTTCACATTCCTAGTTTTTTTGTTTTTTCTTGTAAATCGTATATTATAGTTCTTGCTCTATGAAGTGAATTTTTTTTTCTACCAATCAAAATGTCTTGTAGACTGTTCACTAATCGCTAGTACTGGGCCTTTTCGACAGGTTGACAAACATCAATCTGGCCAGTGTCAAGACATAGCCGTACGTAATTAACCAGGTGACAGGCAGAAAAGAAAAGATCATGTCCATTTATAAACTTTATTAGGGTCACAGAAATTGATTCTTCTCTTCACATTAAAAGAACTAACAAATATGAAACAGTTGTACTTAAGACGAGATGGCTGTCAGGCCAACAAGACAGTTTCCTTTGAACAGTCAAACAGTTAAAAAGTTTACAAACCTCTTAACTGGAACAGAGATGTTCTCTCCGAGAGTACAAAAAAAAAAATGAGCAATAAACTTCATTGTGTGCCCTAGACCCGCCGGGTACTTGACGTCAAAAATATAGTACACTGCCAGCAATGTGCACACAGCTTCTACCGTTGTTCTGATGCCCCTCACTGTCAGGACACCATCCAAAAAGATGTCAAATTCATTTCCCTCGAGATGGATCAGTGGGGTCAGTGTCCGAACTTCCTACAAGAGAGCAAAAATATAAATACATGAGTTTTTCGCGGTATAATTATGCTGCGAAGTACTGATTCGCGATGCTTTTAGATCAATTGTAATTTTGTAGGTTTCCCAAAGCATTGTATATTTCTCGTTTAGCCTTACGCTCAAAAACAGAAACGCGGGTCTGACTTCCTTTAAATCATTTAGTGCATCAATCACTGTGATCTACAGAGCGCGACCAGCTGATGACGCAGCGTGAAAAAAAGGCTTTGTTCGAAAATGTTTTCTGCGCAGGGACAATGAGCAAGCGAAGCGCCATGCTGCCTGCGCAGATTGCGCTTTCGAGCCAAGTCGTTGTTTAGGCGTCGTCCTTCGATAGTCGCGCTCCATAAATCACAGCGGTTGACCCACCGCAGCCAATATGGAAAAGTAGGCATGAGAAAATGTTTTGGTACAGTTAAAAGGTTGCTCTTTTTCATTTCACTTAAATTTATAAAATCCATAGGTTTTCTGCAATAACTCCTTTAGGAATATGTTTTTACAAATAAAAATGACGTGCACTTATTAATAAAGCAATGTATGAACAGCATCAATTACCTCTGTGGTGAAAAGAAGCTGCCGCTTTTCATTGAAAACGAGGGGCAGGTTTAGAAGAGCCACTTTCCCGGGATCCTCTGAAAAAAATATACGCAGCCATTATAATCGCTGTTTGATTTTTCTAGGTATGAAATAGTAGGTTCGCTCTTGTTGACAAATTGTGTTGTTTTATATATATAAATATATAATGTATACTCTATGTACTTTCGCCAAACCGGTCTTTAATAATTAAACTCACGATGTGATCGCAGCAACAAAACAATAGGGCTATTTTGAGGCCAGCACATCAGCAGTTGCAAATATTTATTTATGACAGGACTGTTCAACATTAAGCCAGAAGAGACGGCGTGTGGATCCCTCAAAATCTAAGATGTATATAAACGGAAGTGAGCACAGGTGTGCTAACGGCGTGCATTCGTGTACATATTGCACGATGCACGTTAAAGAGCCCTCGAGTTAAAACCACCTGCTCATTGAATATGGGTCACCTCATTCGCGCTGCCTAAATGCCCCTGCAACTACTTTTTTTTTGTGTGTGTGTGTGGAACGGCTTTGCATTTTATCACACACTTAATAGAAAACTCCCCAAGCTGTGTGTCGTGTATTCGTTATCGCCATGACGAGCCAGATCGCGGAGCGCCTGAACTATCACGTGACTTGGTATGATCCTGATAAAAAACGAGCAAGCTTTGCTCCTGTCTTCTTTAGCAACCTACGCTTTTTAGCCGATGGTTAGGATGAACATGTAGCGATAAACGGCTCGTTACTATTAGCCTCGTGTGAACCCCCTTCGCTATAACACTGTGTAAAAGCGAAAAACACCCCGCATCATCAACTGTTCCCTTTCCAACCAGGGGGTAGTAAAGGAACAAAATTGGAAGTCAATGAGTTAAATTAATACATGTATAAACGTAAAACAACGCCCAACGGGCCACCGCATTTTCTCTACTCTTGGAAAATGCTGTGCCTCCACTTTCCCTCAGAACACTCGAGGAACCGATCAAAGCTATCTACGGAGGAAACTCGGCCAATGGAGAAGCTGAAATAATGTGTCTATCTAAATATAAAATCTCTAGTGTGACACTGTGCATGACCTCAGCACGTGAAACGTCATGGTCAGTGGCATCTCACGCTTCATTCATATTTCTAAACATTCTTTGGCCTTTTCATTCGCCGAGCTCTCTTCGGGAATAGGTGTGATTGGCCTCTCAAGTTTTCTGCGAGAAAGTAGATGCACATGAATTTTAAGTATGTTTTAAGGAACGTTGCGTCTACCCATGTTTAATCCTTCTTGCCCTATAGTCAGTAACAGGTTAAGAAAATAATATATACGAACTGGAGAGGAGGAAGCGGACAGAAGCTTGGAGGAGAGGAGAAACCTCATCTCCAATCCAAGCGTCCGTCGGCTTTCTCCTTTTAGATTTTGTTTAACCCGTCACTGACTATAGTCGCTTATATTTCCTTTAAATTATTTTCAGAAAATAAAGGAAAGAATTGTTTTATATTACTACTGAAAATATAGCACTGACAAGCTTGCACTACCATATGTGACAGTGCGCTATAGTCAAGGGTAACTTAAGTAACTTTTTTGACAATGTAGTCAACGTTAAGGACGCCCTTCATCTTGAACGCCAATCAAGGCCATGCACACGCAGTTTTCACTTCAGAAACACCACAGGAAGTTGCCTCCGATTATAATTTAACCCTGCCTTAAACGAGTGGCGCCGATAAGCGCTCATGAGTTCGTAATGAAATAGTAAGTTAACCCAGCATATTTTTAGTGGTCGAAAGTATACCTCTGCACAGCCGCAGTCTGAAACTTTTGGTAGAGTACAAAAACACTGACTAAAGTGTACCTTCAAGCAGCTCCTCGAAGTTCAGAAGGACGTTTTTTCCTTTGAGGAACACCAGCGTAGAGGCCGTAAACGCCTCCATCTTAGCTTTCATGTCTTCCAGGATGTCTTTCCCGAATGACAGTTTGACGTCCTGTACTAACTGGAAAATAAAAAAGGAATGTAGAGTGTGGCAGGTTTACAAAAGTACATTAGTGTGCGATAGATCTGTACATACTGTTTGTTTCACACATATATATATATATATATATATATATATATATAATAATATATATATAATAATATATAATATAATAACTACATGACAACTTACTGTTACCATATTAGGACTCAGTAAGGCTGGGCCTCAAATCTAATAATATCAATTTATATTTTTCTTTTAAATTGATTATTTAATTTGCTGGTCGCGCTGGGCATGATTTTCTGTATCAAAAAAAGCCTAGAACTACAGATTTTTCTTCTGACAAGTTTTTACTACGTCTTATAATGTGCACTACATAGCGACTTGCCATTGTGCCTCAAACAAAAAAACAAAAAAAAAAAAAGACATGGCAATCATTTGAAATAAAATATTTATACAGTACTATTTAAACTTTAAATCCACTCTAGATCATAACCCTATGAAAAATTTAAGTAGCCGTGAGAGACAATTGTGTTCTAAGATCATAAAAATAATTAAGAGCATTCTTTTTACTTTTTTGTTTATACAACTTTTTGTTACTCTAAATTCAACCAATATGCCCTTAAACTTATTTCATTGTGACTAAAACAATAATTAATGATTCGGAATGCTAAATGAATCATTGCTTAGCCTTATTTCTTGGCAAAATTTTAATATTTAACATCAAAGATATCAAAAGTCCTTAACTCGTTCACAGGCAATAAATTGGGTGGTAAGAAACTTTGAAGTCCTGATGTCCCGTAAAAATTTTGAGTCTTTGAGACAAAATATTAAGGAGACAATATTGAATTACCATTCCGGGAATTGTCACGGCCGGAAATTCCTGAAGACCTGTGCGCACTCCAGCCTCGCTGAGTATCAATTCTTGACGAGACTGAAACGTCCGCATCATGCGGTCTTGGAGCAAGTCGACATTCAGGGGCACTTTGGTTGTCTCTTCTTTCATCAGCAAGACATGATGGCGAACACTCTCAGCGTCTTCACATTTGTCAGTGTCAACGAATCCCTAAAAACAAAAATAATTTGTTACGTTTGTGCGCCGTTTACACATGTAAGCTATTGACATAGAGGTTGCAGCACTGAATACAGGAACAAATGAAACAGTCATTTTTATTAAACATACATTAACAGTTATGCAAACACAGAATACATAAAAAGTATGCGTGTGCTGTTTCCCGCACAACACTTTGAGAGCCAATCGCTGCAAAGTACGAAGTTCGCTCAGCGTATGACGACGCGGAACATACGTTTAGACGAAGAAATGCAGCCTGCGCTGTGACATTAGGCAATGCAAGCGCGACGGCTTAATGACACGGCGCAGACTGCATTTTTGGGTCTAACGAAAAAAAAAATAATAAAGTTCGGCATCGTCACTGGTTGAGCGGCCTCCGTAAACTGCGGTGATTGGCTCTTGGAGTGTTGTGTGGGAAACCAGACGCGCGGGATTTTTTTTAGAGTGTACCAATATCGTTAATGCCACATGTAGCGTAAGCCATATCTGTACATATATGTTCTCTGTCACCTATCTCTCCTATTCGGCACCACGGTGTTAGACAAATGGTGCTCGTGTTCTCCTTTTGATCTTATTCATATCTGAATGCTACTCACTTATCGAACTGGATAGCTTAATCTTGTTAAGATATCCTATATCCTTGATTTCTTGAATGACAGATGAAATTGGCTACAGGCACGTATCGTTTACGCCATTTACGTAATAATTACGTTGAAGTTAAATCCTTCGCTCACTGTCACCTCAACGAAAAAATATGTTTTGTACACTGCGCTCATATATGCTGCGCGAAGTAACTATTACAAAAGTTGGATGTCTGACAAAAAATATGTATCATGCGTTTGAGATATGTATTTTCCCTTAATAATAACAAACATATGACCTCAAATACGCATTAAACTTTCGTAATTCACGTCATAAAAGGGAGAAATAGGTAACACTAAACCAAGCCAGATGTTTGCTCCCTAGTTACGTTCAAAATCTAATGCAAGAATACTAGATATATTTAGAGGCTAATATTGAAAATACTCTGCTTATTAAAAATATAAACAGCACACAAACACGGACTATACGACACGACAGAAAGACAACAGCGCTGAAAATATGTCGTCTCGTACTTAGTCTGTGCGCTGTTTATGTTTTATTCTTGACAAAGCCACTAGTTCATTTACCAATGCTACTCTACTTACACGGCGCCTTGCTTTGGCACACGGCCCTACGATGTCGAGATCTGTCGATCGCTTCCGTCCACGGCCCTTCGTTCCAAATTTCTCCCTGTAGTCTGCGACTTCCTGGACAGACACCAGTGGTCTGCGTTCTTTTTTTAACTTATTCTGAACGCACAGCCTGATCGTGTCCTGAAAAAAGGAAAGCGACAAGGAACAAGCACTTTGACCTATGAAACAAAATATTTTCGTACATCCATTTTGTAACTGATTAGGGGTTCGATGTTTTCTTATCGTTCGTGAAGTGCATTCCTTGCGTTACCATATGGGCGGTAAACCTTGTAGTTCCTGATTACAGTAAAACAATGTGAAGACGTTTAAAAAAAAAATGTGGTACTCGGACAGATCTCATACTTGGAACAGTGGCTCTGGCTAAAATTGCAAGAGCCCAACGGTCGTCCATCGAACGATCAATCAACAGCTTATCTCGTCCAAATTTTCAAACACATTTTGCTACTCCACCCTCAGAACATGCACCTACGCATTTTCCAGTGTCCTGTCTTTCAGAAAGGGGTATCTCGCTCCAAGTGCAACGAAAACATCCGTGTACTGCGTCCTAGTCGGGTACCTGTTACGATAAATTGGAGAAATAGATCAGGGGTGTATTCCGAAGGTACAGCCGGGACATAAAAAAAAAAAAGCTATCATAAGAAGTAAGACCGATAAGAATTTTTACATGAACTATGATCTCAAAAACATCTTTGTTAGCCTTCTAGGCTACGTTAATGCGTTTCCTTAAATAAAAAATTGTAAAATATAAATAACTTACATGGAGTACTTCGTTATGTCATCTGCGAGAGCGCGAACAAGCATCGTGCGAAGTTTTGATTGGCCTGGTTTGAAGAGGCTCTTGTCCTTTTCTGTCAAGCCTTTCTGGAGTACCGGAGGAAATCCTGGCAGTTTGTAAACTGCAGGCCACGAACTGCCCATAGCATCTCGCTGCGGCAACTCTGCTGCTACGACGAGTGGTGGAGCGTCTGGCGCCAGTGCGTTTGAAGGGCTGATGGATATTTTTCAAACATACAATCATCGGGTAAATGAACTGTTATTACCTAAAAGGCTATTATAATTTTCCATACCTTTCATCTTGGAGTGCCTTCCTGGCTCTTATGAAGCGAAGTTGGCTTTTCATTGTCGGGAAGAGGGTCTTTATCATGTCGTCGGTGAGGTTGAAAATTTTTTCGCCATCAAGCTCGTTATCTGATTCAAAGCCAAGAATATTAATCGTTATAGGTCGGAGTAAGCTGTGTTTGTTCTTTTTGTCCATTGACACTGAGAAATCAACTGGTTGGAAAAAATTTAAGGTTGTGAATATTTAGACTGCGTGAAGTTTATTAGCCTTCGAGATGAGGTAACGTGTCACACACGCGCTGTAGATGAGGAGTTTAACCGGTGCAGTACGACCACTAGTCCGGGACCATATACGACGGCGTGCGGTCGTACATCCCGCAGTAGTGATGCACGACCACGCGCAGGAACGATCCTCGTCCGTGCTGCAGAGTAAGTGCGGCGCGATCTCGCTCTCACCAAAATTTTGACGTACAGCCTGATCTAAAAAAAGTAAGCCCCACACACTGCCTAAACAGAAGCGTGAAGAGCATCTTATGGAGTCTAGGCATATTTTTTTCTGATGCGAAGATAGACAAACAGTTCGCACGGGGGAAAAGAAAAACGCTGTTGATGATAGAAAAAAGGAGAAAACGAGCCTAGCATCCTTAACTTTTGTTTGCAGAGATACGATACTTAAGAAAAACAGTAGTGTCGCCCTTCGAATTTGGGTATTTATTCAAAGGTGTGTGATCCGTTTCCGATCCGGGTTGGCAGGTATGCCAGCCATTTGTTTCCTCAACAACATATGCGTGTTCGTGTTTCAGAAAGCGCATCGGCCTTAGAAGCTTGCCACACAACACCCAAACATTCCTGATGCTTAAAATTCTGACAATCTCAAAAAAAAAAAAAAAAGTGGGATCTCTTTTCCGTGCACAAGTGCGACAGGATACAGTATTCCTATTTTGTACAATACCGAATTCTTTTTAAGAGCGGTGACTTCGGTCACTTCTTCCTCCTCGTCAAGCTCAGTCTGCAGGTATGCTTTGATGCTGTGCTGCAGCGACAGGGGCAAAGTGATTAATGATGTCCCCTTGGTTTTTGCCATAACAACATAGCCTACATCCAGGCTACCTAGTCCCTCGTAGCACTGCCGCATCTGGTGCCGTTTTGACAGGGTGTGTGTATAGTTAACAAAATTTCTAGTTATTCTAGCGATGTCTTTAAAATACTGATGTTTCCCTTCGAACCTCACGCACCAGACGTGCCTCAGAGGTCCGTACAAGTTAATGAATCGTGGGTAATGAAGAAGGTAGTGCATTCTTGGCTGAAAATTTTCTGGAAATATTTCCAGAAAGCTGTCCAAAAAATCTCTGATTAGGTGCTCAAGATATGGCACCCAGGATCGTTCAATGGACGGGGCGAACACAATATCCGTGACGCAACGAAAACGAAGAAACATTTCCCACGTTTTGTTACCTTTGGGTACCTTATGTCCAATCAAGAGTGGCAGGAATGTCAACAAAGACAATTTTTGGACAGCTTTTCCGGGTATTGAACCGCTCTTTCCCAAGCATTGCTTGGGTATCGGCACTGGCTTGTCTGTACTGTCCGAGGAGCCATACTTCGACGAAGTGATGCGATTATTTAAAAACTCTAGCGTAAA